AACAACCACAAATCAACATGAAATGGTACTGCGCAGTGCGTAATGGCGTCGAGGGCTTTGTGGTGAAGTTCACGGCGTTGGATAATCGCGGGTCGAACTTGAGCTACGTCTGCGACCCTAAGGCCGGCGAGGGCAAGTCGCAGTGGATCTACATTCCACAACCTGGTGGCCCGCAGCCCTACATTTGGCAGTTCGAGTGGCGCACTTCCTACGCCTGCCCGACCGGCGGCGGAGGCGGCGGTGACGTTTGTGTATTTCGCCGGCGGACTGGTGGTGCAGAAGTTCTACTTCAAGAGGGAGGGACTTGCGCTCATCCCCAACAGCCAGTTCTGGTTGGTTCTTCCGGGCCTCGTCAAGGTCCTTTTTCCCCATTCCCTTCTCAAGTTGCATGCTGGTCAACAGCAAAATCTAATGGTGTGGTGGGGCGTATAAAGGACGGTCATGTTTTCCTGTTCAACAGTGCGCAGAGGATGTGCGGCAGAGGCTACCAGCAGTTCTAGGGATTTGAACACTTGCTATGCCCATGTCTGCAAAGGTCCACTCCCTTCCCTTAAACATGAATGATCATCAACAAAAAAACTGTTGGCCTGATAAACCACTGCTCCAGGGACCAAGGTGGTGATTGCTCCTTGCACTGCCAAAACCAACTGAAAATAAGATGTGAGTAAACAAGAGCAGATGATGAGTAGCATGCATGATGAAACAGAAAATCAGAAAGGAACCTGTTCTCATGTGATTCTGATCATACTGATATGTGGGGTGTTAAACCAGTTAATCCTGAATTTGATAGGCCACTCTGTTTTAAGGACAGGTTTGTTTTTATTCACAGACCTTTTTTTCTTCATTGACTGGACCACTCATTTCAAATGAGTCCAAGTTTTTCTGTTCTTATGAAAATAACTTTTCTCCTATTTTCACAAGTGCAGAAGGGAGTTTTTAAATGACGTTATGACCCTTATTAGTGCACACAGAATAAACCAAAAGGCCCAATCCTCGTTACAGGGTCACACGGCAGTCCCTCTTTAGGGTTTTCCCTTTTCCAGCGCAGTGGAAAGCTGTCCAGCTTTGCTCTGCAGCGCCACTCCCCTCAAGTGAATCAATTCTCTTCCAGTATGCCTCCAATTACTTGAGTGTTGTAGTTGTTATTACCTTTGCACCTCTATCTTCACCTGTTTAATCTTGCGAGCTACGAGTGCGGGCGTTCTCCTTTGATATTCGTGTCTCACTGCCCATTTTTTCCCAGATTACCCACGAGAGAAGATGAGATTATCGTTGGCCCTCGCCGTCGTCGTGGTGCTGCTGAGCGTGTGGTGTGTGCACCTGGTGGCCGCCCAAGGTTTCCAGCTGTGTACCTTCACCGATCCGACCACCAGCAAAAAGTATGATCTCACCAACCTGGCCAAGCTCTACACCTCCAAGGCCTCCGCCACCGACCCCGGTACCCCCCCCCCCGCTCAGCCCCATGAAACGCGTCATCTCCAGCTGGGCCTTTGTGGTGGTTTTAACCCCCCCCCCGGGGGTGGTCAAGGACAGACTCGAGTGGCTGGAAGTACTACAACTCGCCCTGCCAGCCCGTGCGTGGCGAGCCGCGGTGCGTTAGCTCGGATGCCAGCACGGCCATGTGCCAGCAGGACGCCAAAGATGTCTTCGCCGTGGGCGTTCTCAGCAAGGGCACTGTTGGCCCCTGTACGCCCCTACATGCGCCTCCTCCCACCATTCATTCGCAGCAAACCGCCGCACAATCTTAACCTCGAGAAACTCTGCTTCAGTGGCCAACGGTGGCGAGGGCTTCATGGTGTCTTTCACGGCGGTGAACACCCGCGGGTCGAAGGTGAGCTACATCTGCGACGCGAAGGCCGGCGAGGGCAAGATCAAGTGGACCTACATCCCACCATCCGGTAGCCCCCAGCCCTACATTTGGGAGTTCGAGTGGCGCACGTCCTACGCCTGCCCGACCGGCGGCGGTGGCGGTGGAGGCGGTGGCGGAGGCAGCTCAGACTCAGGTGGCCTTGCGGGAGGCTGGATCTTCATCATCTGGTACGTGTGGGACTCACCAGAATTGGGCAATTAATTGGGTAGCTTTCTGACATTTCTAACTTTTGGGTGAACAAACAAACAAACAAACAGCCTGGTGAGCGTGACGTTTGTGTATTTCGTCGGCGGACTGGTGCTGCAGAAGTTCTACTTCAAGAGGGAGGGACTTGAGATCATCCCCAACAGTCAGTTCTGGTTGGCTCTTCCCGGCCTCGTCAAGGTTCTTCCTTTGCCCCCCCGCCCCTCGTTCCAGCACAATAATGAAAACATTCACAATGTTGTATGTTCGTGTGTTGTTTGTTTCATAGCAAAATCTAACAGTGGTGTGGCCCATACAGGACGGTAATGTTTTCCTGTTCAACAGCGCGCGGAGGATGTGCGGCAGAGGCTACCAGCAGATCTAGGGATTCAAGCATGTCACCTCACTGCTGTGCCCATGATCGCAGGCGCAATAAAGCCTTGAACCAGGGAAATAGCTCCCACACACTATCAAAACAGTCCCCTAACATGTAGTCATTTCTGAAATGCACTTCAGTGTCATAACACACGTATTGGAATGTATCACAGCTTGGCGGCTGTGTGTTGTGCTGTGTCCCA